ATATGGCAGCCTCGCTTCTGTCAGTCTGCCCCAGGGCAGCTGTGGCTACAACTGTAGCTGCCTCCACCAGTGTGTGAATGTGAGAGTGAATGAATAGTGGAATTGTAAAGCGCTTTGGGTGCCTTGAAAAGCGCTATATAAATCCAATCCATTATTATTATTATTCTATATGACAACATGCATGAAAGGACAAAGGTATTTGTACATTAGTGGGAAAATAGCAGGACAGTAGGCGGGCTTGCTGGCTTTTGTGCGGCTTCCCCAGGTCAGTCAAAAATTTCAAAAGAGAAATGAATGAACTTACTTGGTTGCCTGATCTCGTCACATATCTTCCTCCATGTCACAGGCACAGAATGTCACAGGCACCGATCGATTTTCTATCGCCTATTTGTTGGGTGTAAGGGCGCCCTCCATTTGCGAGGTGCGCCTGCTGCTTGCGGCACAGGGAGGAGAGGGTGGGGTGGCGGGGGATTCTCTGGCTGGAGCGGCATCTAATAACCAACTCGCAAAATAAAACAATTTAAAAAAAACCCCAACAAACACGAAAACACCAGACATCATGATATAGACTTACAATTTGCGGCAATGTTTTTTTGAAATTCTATGCGAGAAAAGTGAGTGCGCCTGCTCGCTGCTGAAGTCAAAGTAAACATTATTGTCATCTCCGCTACATACAGTCCAGTATATAGAGAGATGAGACGACAAGGCTCCAGTTACAGCAGTGCAAGTAAACAAACAATAAATATAAGAAGAGTAAGAAAATAAATATACACTTCAGGGATCTATACAGTTTGATGATCTCACACACAACCCGTCGAAAGGGGAGGGGGCCGGCTGCTTCCAGATAGAGCATATTTCATTCATAATGTTGTAAATCCAAGCCCATTATGTATGGGGTGTTCGCAGATGGAGTGTTCACCCCGTGCGCCAAACAGGCTAGGACCGCCACTGAACCTGACGCTCTGGTCGCGTCTATCGCGTTTGGTGTGAACACACCGTAATGATGCACTGAGTATTTCTTCTACAGTCACCTTTCTTACCTTTATAAGTATGTATAAAATTTTCATTAACACACTCACAAACAATAAACTAATAATTTAATCATGTGTATAAATGTGCATCTAAATACTTAATCATTTATACAGACTTTCTAAACAACTCATTAGTGCTTGATGTCAAGCTTTACTGAGAAACAGTTTATCCATTTATAAATTATAAATATACTGTTATTCTTAGTTATATATGAATAAACCGAAATAACCGAAATAATGAATGAACATATAAACCACACTGTACCTATTAGCCAACACTGGGCCACAGTTTATCTAAATATATCATAGTTAAATGGATTTCAACAAGTGTGTCACACCAGGTTTGACATTTGTCTTATTGTGGGTACATAATGTTTATTTCTGGCTTTCTGGGAATCAAGTTCTCAAACATGACCAGCTGCTAGCTCTCTGTTGCCCAGAGCCAGATTGATTAACCTGCACTAACTCAATTGTAGATGTTATGTGTGCTTGAGTAGGAGCAAAAGTCAAGGAGAAGTAAATATAAACCTTCTATTCCATCGGTTGCAGGGATTGTGAGCTGCTGATAAGATGCATGAGCTGTGGGTCCTGGTGAGACATCAGAAAGAGTACTGGCACTGCAGCGTGTTATGGATCATGAAGACATGATTGCACCTGGACCAGAGTGACACAGTACCCAGTTTTATGACTGTTCAGGCTGGTGAAGATTCAAAGCTAAATGGTAAGAAGAAAAGTGGAAGGATTGCAGTGTTTGTGAATGAAAGGTGGTGCTATCCCCAACATGCTACCATGAAGGGCTGTCTCTGCTCTCCAGACTGAGCCTTTAGCTGTAGGTATGCTTCCATATTATTTATCATAAGAATTCTCCTCTGCCATACCATTATCAGCTCATGGGGTCGTGGCATGTGACATCACACATTTGACTGTAGTTGACCTATAGTATAAACACCTTAAGACTTTCATCATCTTCAATGGCATTTTTAACCATGTTAATCTGGACTGCACTCTGCCAACTTCTAAGTTGTAAAATCCTGGATTTTCTGTATGCAAACACTGAGGATTTATAAAATACTGGGAAGTCTACCTTTTAAGCTTATAAATTGTATTTTTAATTCATATGTATGTCCTGAATATATATTTTCAACTCAACAGCAGCTTCTGCGTTGACATTAGTGTTACAATGCAGTCATGTTCAGTATAACTTGCTTTGTGCAAACATTAATTTATTTCCTCTGCGGAATCAATTATTTTCTTCCTTTTTCCATTTTGCTGCTTATCAATATCTGTAGTAGTGAACTCATTAAATGCAAATTATAAATAATTAATTAAAAAAGGAAAGTAGTGTTTAACAAAAGTATAAACAAGGGCAAAACATTTTCTCCCTAGAATTTAATTAAAAACTTCATCCGCAAAATGTTTTAATATTTTGTGTATATTTTGGGGGTTTCCTGTTTTGTTTTCTTCATTTTTTGTTTAAAAAAATGGTACAAACTGGATAAAATATACATGTGAGCCAGCTTTCAATTTTGTTCATTTAGCTTTAAAGGAGACCTTTTATACCCATTTTCAGGTCAGTTTTTTTCATTACTGGAGGTTTATAACAGACCTTGGTTAAACCCCTCAGTTCAGCCACAGCCTTTTTTATTTTCCTTTAAGACAAACTTTTTTCTGATTGGTTGAACATCAAAATGACGACAGTTTTACAGCAGTTAGAAGGAGCTGCTCTGCTCACAGTCAAAGCTTTCTTACTTTATAAGTCATCCTGATTGTCAACGGTTTGTCATGTTGGTCGCGTTATGTGTTGAAGCTTTTGCTTTGGATTGCTAAATACAAACATGGCATAGACATTCAAGGGTCATGATAATGTTGCTTCTGCTGGAGTCTTTATATTAATTCTGTCTGACACATGTATATTCCAAACTGGATGCTAATCTCACAGATCCCTTGTTAATGAACGGTGAACAAAAATAAATAGATAAATAAATATCAGCTGCGTCAAAGAATTATAAGTTGCAAAGCTTCAGTTTCTCACAGGATATAAACTCTAGTCTCGGTTAGTGTTCTGTGTTTGACCCACTAATGCACCACATCCTCATCCTGTTGGGGCTCATATGACTCTGTAAAGTCATGAAGGGAAACTTCTCTGAGGACATGAAGTGAAATTTTTTAAAATGAGAACTGAGACAAGTATTTTAAAATATGGACATAATATGACTTTAAGGAATGAAGTGAGGCATGACAGACTTTATTATTGTAGTGCCGTTAACATGCAACATTTTCAGTGCAATATGTGATCACTAAATGAATACCCAAACAAAAATGACAGCCAGAAGTGACATTGCTATCTGATTACTGTCAGCATATTACTTTCATTGTAAATGTTTAGATCAGCGCACCAGAGCTTTGCTGAGGTTCACAGAGCTGTGAGAGCTGCAGTTCTGACTGAAGACTTCATGCCTGAGTCTAACATGAGTGTCACAATACAAAAATGTAATGATTATATCACACTGATTGTAAAAACGTATTCATAATATGCCTAATAGAGTACATCATAATGGTAAAACAGCAAAATGCTTATTTATAGTATTTTTAAAGGTTTATTCTTATGTTTCTATAGTAAACATAACTACAGTCAGGACACGAGGTGGAAGGTTTCAATGACCATGTACCAGCATCGTAAAAGTTCATTAATAATTTTTTGTCCTGTCATTCTAGTGATTAAGCACCTCTAAGAAAAAAAAAAAAAGCAGCACAAATGACCAACAAACACTTTAACTATTCTGTACCAACGCTGTAGCTGGCTGTATACACTCTAGTTATATTGGTGAAGGTTTTGAAAAGTGTATCACTGCAGGTCTGTGTGACGTGTGTCTTACTGTGGCCAGCTTGTGTGACACTGCGAAAACTGTGGTTTTCTGAAAGCAACTTCTCCTAATGACATTTAATGTAAAAAAGAGTCAGAGCAGTCAGTCAGACTGTTGTAGTCTGTTCTGCACATTCACATTGTTCTTTTAATCATGGCTGATCTCCTGCTGCTAGTCGTTCTCATGTGTAAGTTACACTTCTTATCAGGTTCATTCTATTAGGTGTTCATGTTAGCATGTTTCTCTTGTTTGCCTCAGACGTCTAACACTAGTTTAAATTTTTCATCTTTTTATTGTTAAATTAATTTTTTATTTTCTTCCTTCCTCCTTCAGATTCTTTTAATGAAATTAAGGCACAAGGTCAGTCTCTGGTTCATGTTTACTTTCTTTTTTGTCTCTGGAGCTTCTCTACAGTTACTCAGCTTTGCTCATCATGAATATTATTTGTGTAACTACATGCACTGTTTATATTATGTTTCAATATGTTTCAGTCAACTATGTTTAAGACTTTTTGAATCTATTATTATCTCAGTGCTTACTTTACCATTACATATACATATACAATATGGGGCTAAATCTATTTGATTAATCTAACATACAGTCTAAGGAGCTTGGAAGGAAAGCATCTGGGCTTCTTACATTTCTTTAAGTCTTTTAAGTCCTTCATCTTTAAGTTTTCAAGAAACTCAAAGAAGATGAAAGACTTAAAGAAACTTAAAGCAGTTCAGACACTTTCCTTCCTTAGACTACGATGGGGTGGCTGTAGCTCAGGAGGTAGAGTGGGTCATCTGCTGATTGGAAGGTTGGTTTGATCCCTGGCTCCTCCAGTCTGCAAGCCAAATATCTCTGGGCACGACATGAACACCAAGTTTCTCTCCAATGCATCATTCGGAGTATGAATGTTTGTAAATGTTAGTTAGAAAGCCTTTAAAAGCATAGAAGAAAGTACTTGGGTGAATGTGGCATGTTGTATAAAGCATTTTGAGTGCTGACATAAACTTTAATTTTTCAGATCTTCGTCCACCTAAACTGACAGTGAGCCCGCTGATGATCACAGAGACAGACTCAGTTACGCTGAACTGCCAGAATCCTCTTCCTATCTCTGAGTGTTATTTCATCATTTCAGGATATAAAATTGATAAAACAGCTCCTTGTCTGCAGACTCTGACAGGATCTAAATTTCTGTCATGGACACATGAAAGTTCACCTGTTACGGTTGAAGTGACCTGTTATTACCTTTTAGCATATAAATCTCCAATAAGTAACATGTCAGCAATCACCATACAACGTGAGTAAACACTGCTGTAGTGCAATAATATGAGGATGTTTGGCTACAGAGAAAAAAAGAAATCTGCTCTCAGCTTGGGGGTTGTACGAGGCGTGAGCAAAATCTGCATGTGAAGCCGACATAAATATTTAAAATAGTAAAACTCCCGGAGCAGTTTCTATTATCAGATTGTATTGTCAAGTAAATTAAAGATTTGTTTATTTTACTTGAGAAATGTTTATTTTTTTTAGCTCCTCGGCCTGAACTGACAGTGAATCCACGAACGATCATAGAAACAGACTCAGTCACAGTGAACTGTCAGACTCCATCATCTGTTTCTGTGACTCAGTGTTTTTTGTACTTTGTGAGAGGAAACAAATCTACGTCCATCTCCTGTCAGCAGAGACTTAATGGAACTGAGCTCCTCTCTATGGCAGAGCAGAGCTCGTCTGGTGAGGTTGAAGTGACATGTTTTTACATGACAGAGCGTAAAGGAAGACAATACCAGTCTCCTCACAGCAACACATCTTCAATCAACATACAAAGTAAGTGATTAAACTGTCTATATTATACCTCAGTATATGATGGACATAAGTTCTTCAGTTTTTCCAAAGAAGGAAGCTAAAATGATGTTAATAAAGCTTTATTTAATTTAGAATTAACTAATCTTAGGAGGGATGTATAAATTCATTCTTAAATAAATTGTCAATTGGTTGAATTGATTTAAGTCTAAATGCATTTAGGACCAAATTTCCAGTGAGTAACATGACAGCAATCATCACGTAAATACTGTAAATACTGCAGTAATGTATTAATATGTGAATGTTAAACTACAATATTAGTACAAAACAACAAAGGTGTTCTCAACTTGTGGGTGTGTGAGAAAAAATTATCATGTGCAACAGACATGATAATTAAAAAAACCACAACCCTCAGAACATTTTCTATTGTTAGATTTTATTTTCAAATATATGAAACATTTGTAATTTAACAAATGTTTGTTTTTAGCTACTCGACCTGAACTGACAGTGAATCCACGGATGATCACAGAAACAGACTCAGTCGCACTGAATTGTCAGGCTCCATCATCTTTCTCTGCGACTCAGTGTTTTTTGTACTTTACAAGAAGAAGAAACTCTACACCCATCTCCTGTCTGCAGAGTTTAAGAGGAACTGAGCTCCTCTCTTTGATACAGCAGAGTTCACCTGCTGAGGTGGAAGTCACATGTTTTTACATGTCACAACATAAAGGAGAACAATACCAGTCTCCTCACAGCAACATATATTTCATCAGTATACAAAGTAAGTAATCATACTGTGCTGGTCTATATTATACCTCAGTATAGGATGTGCATAAGCCTTCAGTTTTTTCAAACCAAAGAAGACACATAATCAGATGTTTCTAAGTCTTTAATTACCTTTAAATGTAACAGATATTAGGAGGACATACATAATTTCATTCTTAAAAAAATGTGCATTTGTTGAATTGATTTAAGTCCATCCAGGGAGCAGAATACTCAGTAATGATAGATGTATTTGCATTTGTATACTGCATTCAGTATTATGCACTGATATCAGATGACAGCAAAACAATATTCTTTTGAATTTATAAGTTAAATTTTAAGTGTAAAACATTGACACTTTGCAGTTGTGTGTCAGTATTGCAGTAGTGGAAGGAAAATGCCTTCTGAGGTGAATCCACAAGAAACTCAAATAATGAAACAATCACAACACCATCTTCTGTTATTGCAGCTGAAAAAAACACTTTGACCTCTGCTCCTCCTACTTCTATAAACTTCACAAGCGACACAGTCACGAGGGACACAACTATTGGTAAGAGTATTACAAGTTAATAAAAATGCGTAGGTCAATTGCTGTGGAGTGTTTTGACATTTGGTGATATTTGTTCATTTCAGTAGACTTTACTTCTACAAAGCTCAGCACTAAAAGGACTACTTCTTCTGTCACTACACCAAGGATATCTTCAGGTAAATGAAATTTCCTTAAACTGTATTATTAGTCATACTAAAAGCATCTTGCTTTTGAATTTCAGTATTTATTTCCTATATGACATTCAGGATACTTTGCTTAACAAAAATGGGAAGTGAGACTGAGTCTTGCCTGTGGGCTGTGTTTTTTCTAGTACCTTTTAAACTTCTACCTGTAATTGCAACTGGTTTTGGTGTAGTCGTGGGCGTCATCTCACTGGGAATGGCTCTAGTGTGTGTGAAAAAAAGAAGTGGTAAGGACAGTAACAATTCCTTATTTCATGTAAAGCATCAAACTTTTCTATATGCATGTTTATATGCTTTCCCACAATTTTCAAAAGTGTTTATTCTGCAGAAAATGTTCCCCAACAATTTTATATGGATGAGGATTAGTGCTGCAAATGTTTAACACTGAGCTCATTGTAAATCCTTTCTATGTTTAATCTAAAGTAGAGTTGGATGTCTCGAGACCAGTCTCGAGACCACTTTTACGTGCTCTTGGTCTTGGTCTCGCTGTTTCGGTCTTG